GCGGGGAGACAGGAGAGGTCTGCTGGGCCCTGTGGGTCAGCTCCCTGGCTGGGGATCGAACTTGTGCTGCAGTGGCTATGGACAGCTTCAGAGTGCTGACTTAACCCCTTGTGCCACCAGAGAGGCCCCTACTTTTACCTTTTTTTTTTTTTTGCTTTTTACTGAATTTTATTAAGTCCATTGTTTTACATCTTTGTTGGTATTTTGAAAATATAGGTTCGTTCTCCTTAGGGTGTGACGTCATCACTCTCCCATCACCAAAACACCCTCAGTCCTCTCCTCCCCATAGCCCCGTGTGTCCCCCAATTCACACCCCCTCTCTTTGTTCTCTCCCCCTCTTGGTTGCTGCCGATCTGTGGTCACTTTGCAAGGAATGGTTTCTGCAGTTTGTCTTTTGTGACTCTTTGTTTGGTTTCTCTATATCCACATCTAAGTAGTTCCATGTGGTATTTATCGTTCTCCTTCTATTGTGCCCTTATGTGACCCAGATAATAGAGCATTTCCTTGAGGAGAGCAGGTCGTAAGAGTCCTCATCTGCAGAGTTGTGCCTAAAGGAAGCACTGGCTTTCTCTTCATTGTATCCCTCAATGCTTCCTTGGCTCTGGTTTGATCAAGCAGTCTGGCTGGCTGAGACCCAGGGGCTCTGACTTTGGCTTTCAGGAGCTGGGGGGCTGTGTGACTTCTGCAGCTGCAAAAGTAACGGTCCTGGGCTGTACAGCTTGGACCTTTGGGCTGCTTTAGTCCAGTTTGAGTCTACTTCACTCTGAGTTCTAGAAGAGAGGGGTAGACTTGGCCAGGATCTGTCTGGATGCTCTAGGAAGGAGCCTGAAAGTGAACCCCAGAAACTGCAGGGACAGCAGTTTCCACTGAACATGGAAACTAACTGTCTGTACTCTTTTAGTCTATTGCTGTTTGGAAAACAGGCCCATTGCAGATTTTTCACTTACTTTCTTACAAGGGGAACATTTCAAGGAGTCTCCACGGACAGAGAGGCAACAGTTATTTTCTGATTTATTAGCTATGTAACACCTTCACATTTCCTTCTAAAACTCTTTCGAAAGTATAGCCATTTTCATATTATATATTTTGATGATACCCATGGGCAGAATAAACTAAATTGGAGAAAATTTTTGCAGAGAATTCTTCTTTACTAGACCCAGAGGAAATTTAAAGTAGGATCTCAGGGCAAATGTTTCATGTAGAATGGACTCATAAAAGAGACTCTCCCTCTTAGATGCTAGTCTAGTGGGTTGTCCATGTGTCTTCACTGCTTTAGCCCTTTACAAAACAATGTCAGCTTTAAGAACATTGCCAGAATATTACAATACTGAACGAAATGAGGAGATTTGACCCCACATTTCTGTCACTAGGAGATTTGCAAACCTTAACAGGCATTTATTGGAATTACGTCTATCTGAAAAGATTCAGTTAAAATAAGATACTAATAAAGCATCTACTGATGCAACATATTATGCTAGAATGCATATAGGTATAACCCTAACCTCTTGGGGCTTTACAGGCTAGTGTGGCAGGTAAGGAAATACCTACCAAGTGTCTTCAGATAAACACAGTTACTTGAAATCTGCACTTCATTTGACATAAACATATAGTTAGGTGCATCCTATGCATTCCTCTCATGTATACATATATGTATCACAAATAAAAGCACACAAACATGTATAACTTAAAATATGAAGCCTATGCTACATTACCATTGTGGTAAGAGGCCTGATGATTGGCAAGAAGGATTAGCTCCTTTGAGAGTCCCGTTATTCTGACTGGACTGCTCGAATTTATATGCAGCAGCAACTTTTCTGCAAAGGAAAATTGAAGTTTTAATTATAGTTTAAATTTAAATTTTATATAAGAATGACAGTCAACAACAATGAAATATTTCATGTTCTTAAAAATAAAAACACACTTTCTTCTGGGAATTGGAGTTCAGGGAAGCTGCTAGACCTTTGTTGTCTCTTAGGAAAATATGATAGCACAAAGATTACATTTTTGTTGTTAAGTATTTCCTTGAATAGATAAAAAGTTGTAACTTTTATATATAAAATCATATAACGATCTATATAATGAAATATAATGATAGATAAGTGCATTCAGAAGATGGATTTGAAATGTGGTTTCCTCTTAGAAATTGTGTGCTTTGTGCTATTATCCTAGACAGTGTGAATTACTCCTAAATGCATTGTGGGAACAGAGAAGTCATCAAACTTCTAAATCTGAGTGGGGTCAACCTTGCAATCATTGGTATGTTAAGATTTCTGACATGTCATTCTAACCTGATATATTAATAGGTATCATAATTCTTTTTAAAAGGCAAGGCAAACCCGGTGGAATTTAAAATGATTACCTTACTAGGTTGCGTTTTCCTAGATATCTGAAAATTTGAAGACAAACTCTAGAAAGGAAAAAAAAAGGTCACATTCTAATTATTCATACCCATTTACTTAAGTTATCTGTTCACCTAGTACATCTACGTAATATTTATGCATTATTATTGATAAGTATATCATCATATGGGTACTTATACTTAGAACGAAGGGTGCTTTACTGTACTATTTTGAAGGCTCCAGAAAAAAATTCAAATAACCAACTCTAAAACTTACTCCAAAATGCTGAAGAAGTCGGACACCTCTGGACTGGGTGCTCTTTGCCAGTAGGCAATGAGAGTTTCTGGAAGGAAACAGCATGAAGCATGAGGCCCTGCAACTCAATTCTTTAAAAATTTCATTTTAAAGAGCTTTATTTACCTTCTGAAATTGTTTTCATGATGTGAAGAAAGCAAATAAGAAGACATCTGGTTTCTCTTTGATCTAACTTGTCAAATCGAAGAGTTGAACCAATCAAAGACAAGGGCCTGGGGATCTAGGAATGAAAGAACCAATAAGGAGTGAGTGAGCAAGAGAGCTTTCTGCTCTGCAATGCGACAGCCTTCTGAGACAAAGCCCTCACCTTCTCACAGGTATCAGTCTTCTCACTGCTTTTCTCATTGGTGCTTGGGTTGGAGTCAAGACTCGCCAGTGATGCTCTGGAGTCAGCATGGTTTACTGTAGAAATAGCTATTGATGAAAAGGCTGGAAACATAAGCCACAGCACACGGATGATCATGAGATGGATGAGTAGGCACACAGACAGAAAGCTACATGATGAACCAAGGGGATGCTGAACACATCTTTAGTGTGTCATCAACACGACACAAGACCAGATCGACACATCCAGTGTTGTGACAGGCTGACATGGCAGAGCATGGGGTTGGTATGATAGATGTGGGCCATTTTCAGTAGTATTACAATGGCCGTGCCAGCATTAAGGATTTAGGAAAATTTGCACATGATACATGGAAATAAAGTAAAACTTGTTCCTTTGATTTCTTAAAAAGGGTTTTCAAGTAACTTTCCATTTAAAACATACTTTGATAAAAGTTCACAAGGATCGTTTTTGGGAAGAAGCTTTCAGTTTTTGACAGTTTATAAGAAATTAAGTTGACACTTCCAAAATAGTGCTTAAAAACAATCTTTGAAGTTGAAGGGCTATTATATTTTAGAAGGTTATATGTGATGAAAACTTAAAAGGTTGTTTCCAGAATTAAGCGATTTGGAAACAGTGAGTAGATTAATTCAAGTAAAAATGAATGCTAAGTGGAAGAGGAAGTGGCTAGAAGGCATTCAAAGAAATATGGAACAGACTCTTTAGTTATAGAGAATTAGCATATTGTTGCCATGGAGATGGTGCACAATGATGGGCATAGTATGGGCATAAAGTTTAATGAGCTACAATGTCCATCGGCATGAGTGCTGGACACAGATGTTTTCAGGAAGTCTCATGTACCTGCTATAGAATTTAAAACATCTTTGGAAAATGATGTATCCACGGAGTTCGCATGTTTCATAGTTGACTGAGTGTGAAATCCTCCATTGGTGCTGAGGTCATCTCTAGACCCCTGTGTTTAAAGCACAGAAGAGATTAGCAGGATTCATATTCCAACACCATATACCATGTATGTTTTCTTCATTTTACTTTCAATAGATCATAGCTGGTCTGATGTTTAATACCCCAGCAAAGTAGGCAGTGAAAGGAAATATAGTCAAAGCCACATTCTTAGTCACAACATTATTATGAGATTTTATTTGTTTTTTCTTTTCAGTGGAGTGGAAACTTCTTTAAGATACAGACTAAGTAGCTGTAATGGCTATATGTAACATTATACTATCAGTTATCTCTCTATATTACTAATTCCAAAAATAGTTTTTAAATATGATTATGTGGCAGCCTCTGTGATAAAGTATTTTCTGTTACACAATAGAGTCCTCATAAAAATCCAGCCATGAAGGTCTTCTGTCTCACTTCACAGATAAGGAAAAGTGGCGTTAAGAACTTGACTCACGCAGATAGTAAGTGACACTGTTGGGATTTGAGAAAGGTACAAAAAAGGACCCAGATCCAAAGACAAGGCTGCTGACTTTAAGGCCATAATAGCTGCGCAGTGACAGGACTCAGCGGCCTTGAGTCCTCTGGAGCTGAACACTGACCACAGAACCCATGGGGCTGCTGTGTGGCCGCTGTGCTGGCTTAAAGGAGTGAGGACACAGTGACCTCGCAGGGTGGGGGGTTGACAAGGCCCCTGGCCTCCCCCACACCTGGAGAGTGGAGAGGTGTGCCCCTGAGCAAGGGGCTGTGCACACAACAAAGAGCCTGGTCAAAACCGCAGAGAACTGGAAGGTCAAGCAGAGAAGTGAGAAAAATGAAAGTAAAGTGCTTAAAGAGATGGACCAGGCAGTAGGCTGCAGGGCCAATCCGGAACTAAATGACACTGGTAGGACCGTCATAAAATATCTAGCAAGTTCCACCCCTGGTTTGCTCTCAGTTTGGGGAAGATGGTCACCAGGGAATATAAAAGAAGCAAACTCTTTATAAAATGGACACTTGACAATGATGCAAATTCACCTGATTTGACGTGTTGATGGTGAAAGGGTAGACGTCCCTCATGCTAATCCTTGGCATGTTGTCCAGGAGCATGCCATAGAGGGGCATGTATAAGCTTGCTACCTGGGCCTTCTTCTCCTGGGTGCAAAGGGAACCAGAGAAATGATTCACATAGAAATCAACAGACTGTAGATTTGATACGCGGTTCATGCAGTGAGCCACTAAATGGTGTTTAGGGAAGGGCGAGAGGAAGGTCACTTACTGGTTCTCTGTATCGATCATCAAATGAATGCTTAGCCATTAGATTTTTTAGGACAGCCAATGCTGCGTGCCTGACATCCTGATCTTCCTGCAGGGCAAAGCCAACTTCTCGGAGCAGAATTCCAATTAAGAAGTGCTTGCGGCAAAATTCATTGGTGACCGAATATTCAGGCATATCTTTGTGGGGAATGTAAAGGGATTGTGTTATTGGAAAACAAATGGTCACTTTATAATCAAGGCAGACATTGCAACTGCTCCCACTCCTGGGAGGAAGTCAGGAGTACAATCTTGCTTTACAGAGGAGAAATGGAAGAGAGGACTGCTCAGGAACTGTGGCTACTGACACAAAGAATACCTGATCTCAAATTCCTCAAACATGGCGCCTCTGCAGTACTACATACTGTAGGGAGGAAGCAGGAGATGTTTCTGGACGGAATACATTGAGAGGGACCTCTGAGGACATATTTAAGTTTAGAGGTGCAGAACATTGTGGGAGCAGAGGAAGGTAATGGAGGAGGTAGGGAGAAGAAGGGGTGGAGATTTAATGGCACAGAACTCTGAAAGTGCAGGTGTGGGGGGCACAGGAGTGGGGGAACTGGTAAGCAGAGCAGCCAAGAAAAATCTGGTGAGAATTGAGAACAGGGGGAGAGACTGGAATTAGATGATGGGAGAAACTTCTGTGGAGGCCATTTGCATTTCGGTAGGAAAGGTAACATCACTAGCGACTTTGGGATCAGGGAATCTAGCAGATTCCCTGTGTTTTCTTTATTAATTAATTTGGAGACAGGAGGTGAATGAATTAGACCACTGGAAGGTGTGAGGTGAAGAACAGGGCATAGGAAGCTGAAGCAATAGGGGTGTGTGGGCGGGGGGAGAAGTGAGATGGGTAGCAAGAACCAAGGAGAAGTGAGATCATCAGGGCAAACTAGAGAAAAATGAGAGGCACAGAGGAAAGAGGAAAATCAAAGGGGGCTGGAAAATCTTGAGTCTGAATTAGGGAGAAAGGAACGTTAAATTTCCCAATGGTAACATGACTGGAATTCGCAATGTTCCGAAGCGCTTCCTAAGTACAGCTGTTAATTAGGGGACTAGGGGAAGTGAGAGCACTCAGAGTCCGCCAGCTCTGCTTTGGAACTTTATAGAGATCGAGTCATTTAATTCTCAGGATGACCACAATGCAGCTATGATTAGTACAATGAACTACTGGAACGTTCCAGGTTGTAGCTGGAACACTCCAGATCATAACTGAGCAGGAACCAGCTAAACATTTTCACTTTCTCAGTCTACAGAGATGCTACGGATGGTGAGAGCTAAGGAAACTAAGATCAAAGGCTTATTAGTTATATTAAATTTTCTCATGGAAATAGTGCAGAATAGGAAGGGGTCAGATACAGAACACAACTCTTTAATTCTCAAGCTATGATGGGAGCAAAGTTTTGTCCAGACTATTTTATCAATAAGATAGAAACAGGTCCAGGTAAATTAAATTGATGTGGCCTAGCTTCTCAAAGACAGCTAGGCATGAGAAAAACCCAGGTGTTCACTGGCAAACACATCTATCATTCAGTGCTAGTTACAGCAAGTAGATATATGCCTGGGAATTTTATTTATGTTAGACTCTAAGGGGTTTTCCTATGTTTGGGGAAAATTAAAAAATCTCAAACTTTGAAGACTAAAATGTGAAAGAATTTAATTTGGGGAATCTATGCCTATCTAGGACAAGTCAAACGTTCAGTCAACTTCTTCACTATTTTGAATACATGATAGCAATTATATGACTATTAGTATTTGGAAACTGGAAATCTGTATTATCTGTACATATTAATATTTCTGGGCTGTAGTTTCTGAAGCTGACATATTATGATATAAAAAAATTATTTACCTGAAGCATGCAACTCTTGAGTTGATTCTGAAGGTGTCAAAGGATCTGGATTAAATATATAGATAAATGAGAGTTTAGTTATATTCATACTAAGATAGACATGATATTCACTAACTGTAATTTATATTGAACAATTAAAATCTTTTGTAAATTGAGTTTCCTCAATAAAGTTTTAAGACAAAACTTACTTTGTTTCCCTAAAAAAGAATGTCATGAATAAAATTGTTTTAATTCTTAGTTTTTTCTACTTGAGCACCTAATTTTCTATCAGAAACTATAAATGAGATAAGTTTTATGTTCATCGTTAATCATATCAGATCGACAAAGGAATTATTAGACAAAAAGCAACCAAAAGGAATTGAAATGACAAAATTACAATTGTTCTTCTGGGTCATCTTAATCAGCTTATCTAATACAATAATGATAGTTCAACAAAAGCTAAAAAATGCTATTGCTCAAAATAACATTTCTAGACCACGTTCTGTGCTGGCATTTAGATCAAATGTGCTTTTTAAAAATAAGACAATAAAACATGTCTGTGATTTTTTAAAAAGTCACATATATATTTTTTACATTATTCTTCATTTTGTACATTTTTCCATCTCGGTTGTAATCCCATGTACTTCCCACCACCACTTCACCCGTGTGCCATCACCACAGTCCCGAGTGCTCTTCCACCCCAGTTAGATCCTGTTCCCCTCTCCTCTCCCATATAGTGTCTCTAGTTTATAGCTGTTAGTTTTTTTTTTTTTACTTTATTACAATTACTATTTAAGATTAAAATGATAAAATGTTATAGACTTGATAATATACTTTTTCTCCTTTAAAATATGTGTAAGGGTCCTCCCTGTGGTTTAGGGGGTTAAGTCTCAGCGCTATCTTCCTGATGGCCTGAGTTTGATCCCCGACCAGGGAGCTGACCCACATGGTGCAGCAGACTTCTCCTGTCTCCTTCTCCTGTCTCCCTCTCCTGTCTCATCTGCTGTTCCCCTCAGCAGATTTCACTAGACCCGCCTGTTCTGCTCTTCACTGTCCCTGGTGAATCCTCTCACCCCCTGTATTCATTACCATGGGCCAACAGCAGCAATTACCTGGGTGCAACACCCAAGTCACAAGGGAAGAAACAGGAAAACAGCAATGATCAAAAGTGCAAACAAGCAAAAGTGTCTATTTTGTAGGAACTGATAATTCTGGGAATAATTACCTGGAATGTTTGCTGAGCGTATAGGGAGACACAAAGGAATAAAGTGCTCATGCTGACATACTTCTTGAAGAAATTCAAACTTATAGGAGCATAAGGTCTGCAAAGGAAGCAAACAGAAGGATTCTTATTTAGATGTGAAGAAAGTGAGCAAAAACCAAAAAAATCTACACTTGACTCTTCTAATGAAAATGACGAAGCTATTTTTGTGTGACTACTAGGTAACTGTTAAGCTTACAGGACCCCTTAAAATTGGTAAATAGTCAGGGTCCCTACCTTTGGAAATTGGTGAAGATCCCAGGAGCTGATTCCACTCATGACCTGCAGTGAGGTTCTATGAGATTATCATCTCAACGAGTCATTTTTAAAAAATATTTATTTTTGTATATGAAAGCTGGGGTATGTGCTAGAGGTGCAGGGGGTGAGAGGATTCCCCAGAAACAGAGTGGGGAGCAGAACAGGCAGATCCACTGAAACACACTGCTGCGGGGAGCAGTGGGTGAGACAGGAGAGGTCTGCCAGGCCAGGTGGGTCAGCTCCAGGGCTGGGGATTGAACTCGTGCTGCAGTGGCTGCAGACAGCTTCATAGTGATGCACTCTAACCTGTCGCACCACTCAGGAGTCATTTTATTTTGCTTCTTTAATATTGTATCCTAACATGATTAGTTTAAGAAAAACAGTGCCTCCTTACACATGCAGAGCTCTGAAAGGATACTCAGATGATTAAACAGATCCTTATATCAAACCCTCTGAACCACGGAGTTAAGACCATGCGCAGATGATCTAAAATTGGTGTCTTTCTCTTGGTATGCCATGCACCCTCAGAGCACATAGTTTAGCTCTACCTTTTCCCTGTCCTTGCCAACAGGTCTGTCTTTTTAAGTATTTTTTTATTAGGACAGCAATCAATGCAGCCCAAACACGGTCGTCTTAAGACCACTTCACACATGTGCCAAAAAGTGATCACACAATGGGGGATGATTAGCACATTCATAACTGTCCTATACACTGCCATCCAGATAAGGAATACATTTTTAAGATTCAGATTATGTTCATCATATCAACTTGCAAAATAAAAGATATTCCAATTACTCAGTATTTTAGAATTCTCTTTTGTAGCAACTTAACTCAATAACTTAAAAAACTGGTATTTCAAACAAGGATAGTGCTTGATTTAATTTTCGAATATCAAGTGAACAGGAATCTAATTAAAGTTTATGTTAATTATTCTTTATTACACATATTCTGTTTGGTCTTTGAAGAATATATGTAACTTAGGTCCACTGGGATTATATCAAAAGGATGTGCTGTAAATGCTATGTATAATTGGAGCACTAATGAAGAAGAGTCTTTCAAAAAATATTTACAGAGAGAATCGGACTCTCCTAATCCTTGCAGTCAAAAGTTAATATTCACTGCCAAAAAATTAGTCTCCTGAGCATGGCGGGAAAGGCTGTAAGAACATTATTTACTTTTGACTTCTCCACTTAGGTTATTCCTGCTAGACAGCTTCCGTTGGGGACTGACCTTCCTCCAGAAGGGTAAAGGTTAATGAGTGGGGAACTATTAGTTCAGGTGCACCAGCTTCCCTCTTTAAAAGGCATGCATGTGATCCAAACGTGGTTGGCCTCTCTCAAATGTAAATCATAAGGAGAGAACTGTGCAATTGAATAGTGCAACTGATTCACTTCAGCAGGGGTGGAAGTTAGCCACACCTTCTTTGTGAGGTGACTTGTGCCCCAGAAGTGGCTTCACTCCTGCTCTTTTCCATCTCCATCTTCCAGAACTATCGTCAATGCTATTAATTCCCAATGTCCTGCCAAGCCCCCCTTTGCTCTAAATGACGCGAGTTTCTGCAAATTGCATCACAAAGAACCTTAGTGGATATTTTATGACTGGCTTATTTCCAGTATTATTTTCCCCCCACACATGTCAGACTCCAGCCCAGTGGCTCTCGGATTTGAAAGTCTTGGTCTGATACAGGTTTCTGGGCCGTTGCGCAGCTGCTCAGTTCTGAGGCTTTGCTGGTGTGAGATGACACGCGGACAGTCACAGGTCTCTAGAGGGTGGCTTTTCTGTCTGCTTCCCGGCACACGCTCTACTAGGAAGGGCAGCCACTGTCAGAGTCTGCCCGAGACTGAAGTGTTTCCAGGGAACTGGGACTTTCAGGGCTGAAACCCAGAAAGTTCAAGCAAACTGGAGTACCAGGAATTGCTGCTGAGAGAGAGCCACTCCTCCACCCACTAGAAATCGATGCCAAAACATAAAACACGTTCACTCCACTTGCCTTTACCTTCCTGAACCAAGACTTGGGGGACATACTTTGCGGATGAACCATTTTAAAAGGCTGTGGCTCACTGACACAGAAGTTAATTTTTGATGCAAAGGATGGACAGGTTCACATTTCTGGCCTGGATCTATCTACAGCCTGGATTATTTATTTATCATGCCATTGCTACTAAGGTAGAAAGCTCAGACTCTTACACCGTCTCTTACCTTGAGGTCGCCAGAGAACATGCTGATGTAGTTGTTGACCATCTTAAACACGAAGCCCCGGTCCATGAACGTAAAACAGCGCTGAAGATAAATTCAGACATTTTCATTTCAAGAGTCATTAGAGATTTTAGCAAAAGTGATTAAACACATCGAAGTCAAACAACAGTCTCCAAGATGTGTCATCTCATTGGTTTTTGTTTTAAATTCCTCTTAAGTGCTCATCCACATGTGACAATGACATGAAATACGAATAGTACAAAGGCCAGAAAGTTACAAGCCCACATTTATCAGTTTTAGGAAACGTCACTTACATCTTTGCAATGAAATATTCTACCCTTTTCTCAGTCACTTAAATGCTGTCAGTTCATGGCTTATGGCTGTTTTGAGCCACCGTAGTGGCGTGTAGTTGCAGCAGAGGCTGATGTCCTGCAAAGCTACTTAGTATTTGGACTTTTACAGAAAAAGTCTCCAGACTCCTGATTAAGAGGGTAAAGTAGAACCCACCAACCTTTTTCTCATTTGACTTAATAAATTGAAAGTTCAATATTCCCAAGTGAATGCAAAACTATATTGCTGAAAATAATTAAAAAAATGATTTTATTCCACCAATTGTGAGGACAGTGAGGATTTATGTCCATGCCAGGGTGAGCTATGAAAGCTCAAATTGCAAAAGAAACCCAAGTGTCCCCACTTTTTCTAATATAACAGACAGACCACTGCCTTCTTGTTTGCTTTTCACCGCTGTCCTTTGCCTCATGTAGCTATTAGCTTATGGGCCACTCATAGCAGCTATTGTAAAGATGCGCTCTCTAGCAAGCGTGGATTATCCTTGATGCCCAGAACAGCTAAGTCAAAAGAGTAGGTGTGAAGACATTTCCCTTTTCAGAACTTCACTTAGCTACGCTTTTGTGAGGTTTAGGGAGAAATAGTACCGTTATTTCTTTAAACGTATTTCACAACAAATTAAGTCTCTTCTATTAGAGGGTTTCCAAAAGCTAACTGAAATAAAGTAGTGATGAGTTAGGGTAAAAAGACACGGTTGTCTGAGCAGGAAAGTAAAAAGCAGCATGACTTTCCTTTGCTAGCTCCTTGGTAAGAGACCTGCAGAGAAAAGGTGTAACATAGAAGGGAGGTTCAGGTGAGTAGGGCTATCATCCAGACTGGAAGCCAAACTAGGAAAAAAACCCCAAAGCTACTAAGTAGTCACATGTGTCTGACCTGCATTGAGAGGACAGTCAGAAAAATGTATGTGTGTTTTGTGTAACTGCTGTAAAAATGCTGCTTCCTCAAGACAGAAAGCCAAAGAAGTGACCCAGAGCACACCCACTCCAGGGACACCACTCTTTGTTCTCACAAAGTAGGGTGGTACCATTTTAATTGTTACAGAAAATAAAAGAGGTCAAAGTTGTCTGCTACTTCCGCTGAGTCAGTAAAAGTTATCAGATCTGAGCTGTGTGTTCCAAGCGGCAGTGGACAATGTCAGACACCTGCAGGCTCAAAGTTCACCACTTTGGAGGCAGTGGGGCAAACGCCGCCATTCACATTTGCATGAGAAATCACTTTCTCTCCCTGTCCCCTTCCTCCCCTAATTCAAATGAGTCATCTCATAAACCACAAGTTTAAAGACAAAATTTTTCTGTGTCAACACAAATGCTCTTGAAACTGAAAACAGTGTGTGCATGATAGACTAATGCACAATCATTACACTAATGTTTCAATTTCTGAACGCCACACATAATCATTGCTCTCAATTTGCATTGCTGTGCACTTCACCTCAAATCTCACAGAAACACCTGTACTTTCAGCAGCTGGCTGTTTCATTGTGTCCTTTCTCATCTTGGACAGTTTTTATTTGTTCCCCAGTCGACGTTAGTTTATGCAGCAACAGCAGCCATCTTTGAATAAGTGAGTTCTAAGGAAAACATCCACTTATTCCAACAGGTACAGAATATCTTAACCAAGGAGGGCAGAGAAAGGGTATTATTTTCTTTTTTAAAGAGATACGGTTAACCCCAATTCTTTGAAATTTAGGGAGGCATATTACAGATGTTTCTTTGAACATATTTTGCTTATAAATTGGACCATATATTGTTTTCTCTCCTATGAAGTGCTTTAATAAATGATCTTCATAATAATAAACCTTATTCTCATGGGTCTTAAAATGGGGTAGAAAATGAAAGTTATATTTTTCTCCTTTATTCTCCTCCCCCTAGCCTCATTCCTTTTTTTCTGTAAGCTATGCAAAAGCAAAAATGTGAGGAGAAATGTTGGGGCAAAAGATAAATTCAAGATGAGGAAAATACAGTGTATATTTTGAATTAGTGCTTAACACACTAAACTAGGATTTAGGCTGGATTAAGACTGACTGAGACAACTCAGGCTAATTTTCCAATGACATCCGCAGCCTCATAACTTTATATTGCTAGTTTATATTATATATACAGCTTCATGTCTATCCAGCACGTCTGGCATCTACTTTAAAGAATTAAAAAAAGTGGCTTTTCAAGTATTCTGTAGTCAACAGTTGGAGAAAAGAAGAGAAGTAAAACTAATTTTTTAGTTGGGTATGTTATCTGATAAATGATAGCTCATTAGTTTTTACTGTCATTGCATTATTCTCCTCAATTCAGTATGCTGTCAGTAGACCAAAAAACTCTACTAATTATGCTATCATATATGTAAATATTGAATCATATATGTGTGTGTATACTTATATATCACTCTGTACGTATACAGGAATTACTATATGTATGTTTTGTATAGTAAGTAATTGCTCAATATTTTAATTGATAATATTCCTTTCATGTGATTTGTGCATAATATTTTCGTCATTTAAAAGAAAGAGCCTGGAGGTCATAGAACACAAATGTTAAATCCCCAAAGTTTCCCCAAGTGGCTCTATGACATGATTCTGAGAGCCACAAACCAATTCTGGCAACACTTTCAAGGGCAGAAGTGCCTGTGGGAAGTGTGCTGTACTGCGCAGTGAAGCTTCTCTGTCTAAACTTGAATAATTTTTCTTTTAAAATATTTAAGAGTGCTCTGATTTGACAACATTCAAATGGGTCCTTTTATCTAATCTTGGTCTTTGTTCTAGGAGACCAAATTGAAAACAAAAATTAAAAAGTGTTTCAGGCAGTAGAGATGGGGATTAAGTTAAGCATTCATCTAATTGTGCCGGTTTTAACTCTCAGTCACAGAGGAAGTTGTGATCGATTCCCATTTAGACTTTATCACATCCGCTCTCCTGGGGAGGTGAATGGAACCGTGACCTTGCATAAAACTGTACCTTAAGAAACCTGGCAACACTCTGATTTGCTCTTCTTGTTTCTTCCTGTGCATCTCTGCATTTCCAAATCACGTGGTCGGACAGGACCATTACCAGATTGTCCAATTCGTTTTGGTAAGATTCAGGAAACCTTTGAACCCGAGAAAGCTAAGGAAAGAATGGAGCATTTACTTAGAATGAAGCATGCGAAATACTGGATGCCTAGAAAAGAAATAAACTGAAAGACTGACTTCATTTATATATCATCAAACAAAAAAGAATCCTTTTGAAAAGTTGAAAGCAATGATAAAATAGAAGCCCTTTTAATTTCAAGGTCATTATTCCCATCGTTTTTATGTAAGGTTTCCTTCTCTATTTTAGCAACAATTTTTTCATCTTGTTACTAAAGAGTAAATTATAATATATATTCACTGCAAAATATATATTACATAATATATACCCATTGCAAACAAAGTAGAAATGTCCAAGGTAGAACGTGTCCATTTCTTAGGACCTCTCACATTTTAATTTCTTCCCATTCTTTCTCAGGAAATGACTACTATTAATGGCCTAGTGACTATTATTCTAGATTTTTGACAGAGGACTCAATGTAATTTAAACATCAATTATTTTGATTTTTCAAACCAGATTTCTCACGCCACTCTACACAATGAGTGAATGAATAAGTGGTAATCACAGTGGATGATCTGAAATGCCCTTTCAGTGGTGAGTTCCCACTGGATTTATCTCCCAGGTGCCAGCAGGACCTCACAATCAGGTTAGCTTGACCATATGACGCAGAATGCTTTGCCTGTGAGACTGCAGCACATACATTGACTAAAACCCTGTGTGTCTCCACGCGTTCCCCTCGGGTCCAAGAACTCACTGCTCCTGCTTGAAATGCTTCCCTCTGGAATGAGGGTCACAGCCCAGGCAAAGTCACCAAGACCTTCAGGGCTGCTGGCTGAGGGTCAGGGGACTTTGAAATGGATGGTGGAGGAGGACGATGCTGCGTGTGACATAGGACCCCAAGACCACCTGCGGTGTCGGGACCACAGTCAGTCCAGTTAACCTCTATCTTTCTTGTAAGTTTCTTTTGAGGAAGCAAGGCTGAAGGGTACTGTGGAGGCGCAGTCTTGATGGGTGTGACATGCAGTGCAGGCTGTGGGGGGCAGCATTTACAGAGGTGCCCAACTCAGATGAGCCTTCAGGACACATTCTATAGAATCGTTAAACATCAGGGACCTACTCAGGTGTTCACGCGGTCACACTCTCCCCCACCTGACCCGAGTCAATAGTGAAGCCTGTAGGGCCCAAGCAATGCCCTCTCCCCAATGCGAGGCTCTCCTGTTGCATACTCTTCCCTGAGCCTGCCCAGTGACCCAGCAAAGGCTTTCTCCTGGCAAGGCCTCTCCATCAACCCTGCTCCCTTCCCTCTCTCCTGTCACACGTGTCAGGCCTCCTCATCCCTTGGCTTTGCAGCCAGCTGCACCAGTTTTGCTCTGGGCATTTATTTCTTCAAGACCCAGATGGACATGCCCAGTCAGTTTCCTTCTTAGAAGGAAATTCAGATGAAGGGTTAAGATTCACCAAGTAAATAAATATGGATGGGTGAGGACACATTCATTAGCATAATTAATGGCTGACATTCCAGTACCTATGATCCTACCTGAATGTTGTTCGTGTCAATCAAGTGCTGTGCCATTGATTTTAGGATAATTGCAAAGAAGAACCAGGAATGCTGTCAGGAAAAGAAAAGACACAGAATTTATTATCTTACGGTAAAATAATGATCATTCTGTCCGTTATTATGAAATCTTTATCTTAAAATGTATTCTTTGAGAAATAATGTTGGGTTGTTGGAAAAGCCATGACATATTATTTTCTGTTTTTCAAGCAAATATATGTCAGGACTTCTCTGACAACCCAATATATCTTTTATTATGTTAGGGTGGAACTTGATCAAAAGTCTAATGTTCAAAGTAATTGTCAGGTATTTCAGTTCTTCGGTCATCTCAAGAATGTTTGCACTAAACCACAATCCTGGTTTACTGCACATGGTTGATGAGACAGTGATCTTAAGAAACTCTTATTCATGGTGGTGGGGTGTTACAGTCAGCGAAATAAGATTACACTTTTTATATTAAAAAAAAAATCACAGTAGGCCCACATGTAACATTTTCAGTACTAGAGACAGAAATGGAAGCCACATATCTAAGATGGAAACGTTTGAAGTTAAGCTAGTGAAGGGGTAAAAACGCTGTCCTGGTACCGTCAAATGTGACTTCCAAACAGCTGGGAATGCCACTCCAGGATGGGGGGCTTGGGGAGAGCAAATCACTGGCCTCCCCTCTTGTCACCCATGGCTCTGTCCTGTGTGCTGAGGGTCAGCACACACTTACACCCCTGGTCTGCATACCCAAGTCTGTCCCCAGACTGGGTCTGCCCTCACTGGGTCTAGTCTGAACTCAGGCATCAAGATCTGTCTCTGTGACACTCCTGCTCAAGGGATCACTATGCAGCCAACATAATAGACGGAATCTTGCCTATGCCGACAACATGGACCGAACTTGAGTTCATAATGCTAAATGAAGTTAAGTCAGAATAATAATGCTAAATGAAGTTAAGTCAGAAGTCAGTGATAGATAATTGCTGGGCTTCACTCACATGTGAAATGTAAGTAGCTAAAGCCAATGAACTAACAGGTCACAACAAAATAAACCAGGATTGTGGGCTCTGTGAGAAAGATGGTTTGTGCCAGTGAGCGCCGGGAAGGACGGGAGCAAAGAACAGAGGGGCCAGTCTGGTGGGGGCAAAGGCCTAGACTAGAGCCTTGGTGGTGGGTGTGGTGAGGCATGTCGAGGTGCAGAGTTACACTCTGGAAATTTCTATAATATTGCAAACCGATTCTCCTCCAAGCAAGCCCTGCGCCTGTCCTGTAACTGACACCGCACTGCCCCAGACACTTCGCTGCCTCAGTACTCAGTCCTGCCAGTGTCCTGGTGTCCAGCCTCCCCACCCCACAGTCCTTTCCCTCCACAGCTATCAGGGTGGATGGACCTAACTTTTAAACCAAGTTAGGTCACTCAGAACCCTTGAAGGTTCATCATTTCCCACTGATTGCAAGCCCAGGCGTTGAGGGCATCTACTGCCCATCAACTTCCCTTGCTTCTCTGCCTTCCACCTCTCTCCCTCCTCTTCCACCTCTCACCTCACCCCCTGCTCACTTGGCACCTGCTGCCCTGACTTCCCCACCACCCCTAGGCACACCAGGTGCGCTGCCACGTCTATGCTCACCCTGTTTACCCTCTTGTGTTCTGTCCTACTCCCAGGCCCACAGGGCCAGCTCTCTCATCCCCAGTCTGCCTTGGCCATACTATTGAAAACTGCAAACCTCACCTGGACAGCCACCCCACGCCCCTTTCTTTCCCCAGTGACCTCTCACTTTCTAACATACAGTGTACTTACTTTTGTTATTATGTCTGTAGCTTATTATTTTTATCCCTGAGTAGAATGTAAACTCCCCAAAGGCAGACAACTCAATCGTTGTGATACTACCTCACGCAAGTACTGAGGATGGTGCCTCTATGTTGGGGACTGAGGCCGGCATCTGGCGTCTGTCAGCAGCCATAAAAAGGTGAAATGGAGTCCGGATAGAGAAAAACATTCAGGTTGCAAAAGGCATGTGGGAAGAACCCCCTTGCCCCCACCTTTTCCTTTTCCTCTTTCTTTTCTCGCCCATTTTCGCCCCTCGCGAGATCAACTGCCACCAAAACATGTTGCATTTCTATTGGCCTTCTCCCTTCCTGGCATCCCTCTCCTCCTGTATAAAGCTGAGATAAAACCCAATAAAGAGCTCTTTCTTTGTTCTGCTACACGCGTGTGACTGCTTCCTTTGTTCGCCGGACCTGGGGCCCCGACTCTCCGGCCTTGCTGGTCAAGGTCCCCCGCACCTCTACATGGAGGCACTTGGACTTATTTGCTGAGTATATGGAATGAATATACTCCGAAGACTAATTTAAATAAACAAATTTCTTGGTCACAGATAACTGATTTTAATGAGTGTGTTGATCCTTATTGGCTTCTCTTTCTGGCTACTTACTAATCAACCACTCCTCTGTCAAGATAGATAACTTAGCTGTAGTCTAAATTCACTATTGTATTAAAGTTTAGAGTTATTCTTTTCTAGGATTCTTACCATGCCTTCCTTCTTTTCTACAAATACACATTTTTCAAGCTTTTGGGTCAAAGGGTGGTTGTTTTTCTACTTCCTCTCTGTTGTCAGTATAATCATTAGTGTTGCCACTAATCCTTTCCTTGGAATTTTCTTCTTACTGTGACTAAAAACTCAGCAAACTTTATTTTTGCTGTAATTGGCATATTTATTTATTCAAAAATACTTATTTTTATTTATTTATGTGTAGAAGAACTGGGGTGTAGTCTAGTGGTGGGGGGGCTGAGAGGATTCACCAGAGACAGAGTGGAGAGCAGAACAGGCAGTTCTATTAAAATACACTGCGGGGGGGAACAGCAGGTGAGACAGGAGAGTTCTGCTGTGCCATGTGAGTTTGCTCCCTGGCTGGGGATAGAACTTGGGTCTCAGTGGCTGGTGATAGCTTGATAGTGCTGAGACTACCCACTGCATTACCAGGGAGGCTCCTATAATTAGCATTTTTGAATATTTTAGGTCATTCTTAACTGTCCCTGATTTTGCATTTAGATCAAAGAACTTAAGTCCATTCCACTTTTTAAAGTGATCTGTTCTTGTCACATAGATTTATTTTGTTTACTATTTTTACATGAAACATATACACCTTATGCTAGAAACTATAAAAGAATCAGTGCAGCCTATCACCTTCCAGGGGTGAGCATGGGCTATCCTTAATACTAACAATTATAAGGTCACCTTTGGGTTGTTTACCTTTAAGACATGCTTCACTGTTGTTGAGTCATTTGATTTCAAAAGACCAGTCACATTTTTAGCCAATTCCTCATGTATAGTTTTCTCCTTGTATGTCCTGGTCTTGAAGACAAACTGAAGAAAATCCAAAAGTTGAAAAAAATTAAACACTTTAAAAGCCAAAGCTCCAAAGCCATGTCAAATAAATAACGCAGATCTCAAAATCATTTGCACATGCTGGATTTTGTCATGAAATAAATGGAGATCCCATGATAAGTGTAATCCACACCTGCTCTGTTTTAGAACTTTGCACAGGTAAGACCTGGCTCATCTAAGCTCTCTTTGAAACTTTTTTTTGTGTGTGTCAGGAGAAATGGTCAGAGAGCAATTTAGCAGGTTTAAGGAAAGATGGAGGGCTTTGACCCACCTACTTGGGACAACTTTTCCCTTCTTCCTTCCACTGGTAACAGGTAGCATGGTGGCAATTCTTCATCCTGAAAGGGTAGAGCACCCACTCAAACAGCCAAGTGGGGAAGCAGGTGACTTCCAGAGGCTGGTAGGTGAGCTCCCCACAAGCCCATGGTCTACTGTCTCACACTGAGCCACAGCTACCAAAGTGTCCATGAACATTGGCCATAGATAAGGTAACAAATGCTGTTCACTTCTTTTTTCTCAAGAGATTGATTTTGGCAAGTGCCAGTTAGTGCATCCAATGGTTCACCTTTCACTATTTCTTCATATTTTTTAAGGATATCAGTCTTAATTTATGCACATGCATTTCAGATACAAAGTGTTTATTACTGGATTATAGTATTTTACTTATGAGTTGGATTTGCCTCAAGGAAGGTCATTTTGTTATGCTCACAAGTCAGCATTCAAGAGCAAAGGCAGGAGAGAAGCTACCTCAAAGCAGAGGCATATTTGCGTTTGGATCTATAATCATTTCTTTGCACTTCATAGCGTGTCAATATCCAAGTCATCCCAATGGGGCCTGATTTCTTCATGTTTATTGCAAAGGAGAAAGACAAAGCTAACAAATGCATAAAACTAAAATCAAGAAGTACAAGTTTCTCTCCTTGTGGATTTTAACTCATATGACGTTAATGTTGTCATCCACTAGCTAATTCCATGCACAGTTTGTTAGCCTCTAGGGCATTTCAATAGCCCTAATGTATATTTTTTCCTTTTTACATTTTGGTTACAACATGTCAGCACCATGAATTGCTGTAAACCATAGCACTTAGTTAGGTCAGCTTTAGATATATATCTTTGAAAAAGACATAGTGTATGTGTACATTTTGGATATTGTTGATGGGGTGAGTTAGCAGCACTTAGCACCACTGAACTTGAAATGGTGTTTCATTTATTTCTGAATAAATAAGAAAATTACTTTGAATATCACATCTTTCAAGAAAGTCAAAGAACATGCTTGTAAAAGCCTATCAGTTTTCATTAAACTCCTACTTGTAGGTAGAGCTTCATGTCTGTCTATCTATATGTCAAAAAATAATTTTTCCTACTGAGGGTAAAAAATACAAATCAGATTCCCTGGTCAAGATTGGACTGTCAGCTATATACTGTGACAGGAGTCCAATCATAGAATTGTAGAATTGGATGTTCATCTGGCCCAACTCATCTCACTCACAAAGGAGAAAAGTGAGGTTAATTTTTAGCTAAAAGTTCAAGTTAAGTATTTAACCTTGACTAGAGTCTAGTTTCACACATGCTATTTACTGTTGTTCCCAGAGTAAAATTCCAGTAAAATTTATTATTTTTGGATATAAAATATGTTATAAACAACCTCAGAGATTGTTATCAGCTGGAAATCCACATAGGTGTTCTGGATTTGAACAATTTCAAAGTGAACTAAATTGGTAGTTTCCTGTATGACAAAGTCAAATGGCCTCATCAGGATATTTCAGACATGGTGGTTGAAAATAAAGACCAACAGGATGCATTTATTTCCAGAACACCTTGCCAAAAACATCACAGGTAGAATTTGGGAGCTGATATAAGGGTCATATAGAAACTGGCCTCAGTTGTCACAAAACTAGTCATAGAACAGTGGGTTCTTGATGTAATTTTCAATGACTGCATCGGAACAAGGCAGGTTATACTTGTGTTAGAATGAAGATGTCTGTGTTAATGTGGTTTGACAAATTTTTTTCTCAGTTTCTTTGGTGACTGAAATGGACAACTGGGAGGTTAAATATTCTGTTGGTAATTCTGTGGAATGGTAAATCACCAATATCCTATAAAAGTAAGCTAAGTGCATGCTGAACAGAGAACAGACTGAAAAGGCATTTGTAGATAGAACTGGATTCTACAATCGAAATGTGGGTCATATTGGGAAATTACTGTAATTTGCTGACTATTTTTGTCATAAGGGTTATTTTAAACAAGGGCATATACCCATAGTTAGGTATTTGGATATATCACCTACAGCTAGATCATCTGACATCTGGCAGCTAGAAAATATAAAATATAAAACTGTAATGAAAAAATAAAACCCCAGCCGATGGCATTCCAGAGAGAAATTCCTAGTTATTTTCTTTAACAAGAGATTTTCTTTTCTTTTTTTGGTAAATCTCTAGCTCACTTATTTCTTTAGTCATTTTTCTAGACATCCACAGTATATGGATATATGTCTATTCAAAAATACTAGTGGAATATAGTTTTATTTAAAAAACGTCTCTCGCAAAAGGATTTAACCTATCGATAGAAAAAAAAAACAGAAATTGAGGTTCTTTGTATATTTCAATATAAAGTACTTTAACGCTATCTGGATGGGTTCTTTTCAGTCACGAAAATGACATTTAGGCATGAACCAGAATGTGCAAACATCATCCCAAGTTCAGTGGCATTAATTCACAGGCCAACTGGAAATGAGAATATAAACATGTCTGAGTAAACACTGGACAGAAGACGCTGAAAGCAGCAGTGCACACTGATGGAATGGGCTAGTGACTCATGCTGGAGGATAAAGGACTTAACATACCAGAGGCAGGTACAAATATACAGTAACTGGGAAAATGAAATAATGCCTGAGAAAACAATAAAAAGAGCTAAGAAAACATTACAGAAGAAACATAGAGCATTCAACAGGAAAAATCTTCCATCAATTGACAGAGGCATTTAATTTATTTGCAATATGGACTTCAAAAGGATGGCAACCTCTTCTTTCTCTTTCTTTGCCCTCTCTCCTCACATAAAAATTCACTGGCACATGTACATATTATTGACACATTTCTATATTTAAGTGCTACGTTCAGCCCGTCGATGCAAAGACCTAACTTTGCAGGTAGCTAAAGGGGATGCTGGATATGCTAGTGATGGCACCGTCTAGCCAAAGGGAGGAACTTCCCGCTACGGCAGACAGCAAACACGACAAGCCACGGTGCGAGGGGCTAAACTAACGTGCAAGCGGCAACTTCATACCTTGATGTATGACTGGATGGCGTGTTCCAGCTGTTCCTCGTGGCACTTAGCCACAATGTCCGTCAATACCCTGGAGAAACAAGCTGTTCAGTGCTCTTTCTAAGAAGGCAGGCAGCTCTCACTTGGCTTTTCTTTGGAGTGCTTGGTAAACTGAGTGCTCACTAGTTACTGAATGGATGAATTAACCAATTTCAGACACTTCTCCCCTTCTGGTCCCTTTGCACTGGGTTTTTAAAATCGGTGATACCGATCAGCCATTTCCAAACCAGAAATCTTTAAGCACTAAGATAGCAGTCACGTCTAACAGCTGCAATCACACATGGGAGATGTTTTACCCAAGCTGAATGTGCTATTCTTATCTGCACTTTTGCTAATATTGTTTTCTTGGAAAAGGGATCATTTTTGTACCTGATTAAAAGTAAGATCTTAAATGTCTAATTAATGATTACATTCCATTTTAAAAGGACTTGCCTTCTAGCCTATAGATACTTGTGGGAAGAGCAACGAGGTTGATGTGTAGGGTTTTGCTTTTTCTTTAACTGGGGCAGGGTTTCAAGTAGCAGTGGGTGCAAGGCTGGAGTTTTTCACTCAGTTAACACTCCAGTTACTCTGTGGTTGTAATATTTAGGAACATCTCAGCAATCTCTGGGCTGAAATATTCAAAACCTTGCTGGCACAGACTCACAAACTGATAGCGAAAGAGCATCAGCGGAAGGCCCATTGGAAACTTAATCTGGAGCCAACTGGTTGTTTCTGGAACTATTAGAGATATTTGAATTTTCCAGAGCTTTAGGCTTTCAAAGTGATGCTGAAGACTGATTCTGAAAAATGCTAATAATATGCTTGAGAGTCAGAAAGGGCCTAGAAACATTTCAAAATCAAGTGCATCATTTTTCCTTTTAGAATTCTAGGAGTAACATATTTTAGAATAAATATCAGGGAGGTATGATTCAATAATTCAAAACATCATTTCCATAAAGAGGACACTGGTTATCAGAATCACTAGATAGAGTAATAATGGTGTAAGAATGTGTGCAGCACAGACAGACTGAAGTGAGAATGGTTAGGAAATACTGGGTATTCTTCTTAAAAAGGCCTAATGGGGATGTGAGATGATACAGGCACTTGGAAGACAATTAGGCATTTTCTTAAAAAATAAACATGTAGATCTTATACATCCCAGAAATTGTATTTGTAGGCATTTATCCCACAAACATTAAAACTTATAAATCTTCCTCAAACTGGACATATCCAGATAGTCTTCAAGCTGTGATTTGTTAAACATACTTTGCTTTGAAAGACACTCAGAAATGAAAAGGAATGAACTATTGCCAGATGGAACCACCTCCATGAACTACCAAAGAATTATATGGAGTGAAGAAATCTAATTCCAAAAAAGGTTTCATACTTTTAAATATATATGGAGGTGCACATATGTATTTAATAATTTACTATATATTCACATATACCTGATGTACAATAATTTAGTATGATACATATATTTAAAATTCTTAAAATGACAACATTTTAGAGATAGAACAGATTAGCAGTTGTGAGAGATTATGGGGTGGGTGGGGATGAAAGGGTGACATGAGGGATCTGTGGATGGAAATTCTCTGTACCCTGATTCTTTTGATGCCAATGACAATATCTGGCTTGTGATGTTGTACTAAAGTTTTGCAAGATGTTACTGTTGGGATATACTGGGTATATCCCAGTATAGGGATCATACTGGGATAATAACACAGGGATCTCTATTATTTTTTACAACTGCATGTAAATCTTTAAGTAGCTAAAAGAATGCTTAATTAAAACACATAAAAATTTTAGAACAGATCCAAAACTTTCCTCTATGATAATAATGGAGGATGAGAGATAAGAATTCAAGAGTGTGAAGTATGTAAATCCGAGCTAAGGGTTAAATGAAGGCAAGCTTCTCCCAGTGTGCGCCTGGACAGTTAGAAGCCCGGCTTCATGCAACCACAGATTACCAGCCCGTGCACGGCTTGTGGGTGGGTACCTGGTCACAGTTGAACTGATTTCATCTTCCTCATTCTGTACCAGAACCTTGAAGAGCTGATTCAAGATGATAGGCAGAAAGCTCATGATTGCTTGAATCTTTTCCACATTCAATAAGCTCTGTAGTAAATTGGAGGGAAGAAAAAGGATACTAATTAGATGCAAAGCAAATTTGGCTGGCATTTTCAGAGCTTGAATATGAACATGGTAGCTCTCCTTTGTCTGGCCTTACTCTTCATTCTATCTAGCCTGGCACACAGACATGGGTAACATTGCAAGAGCAGGACATTTACTTAACATAAAATCAATTGATTCTGATTTTCAATCATTTTTATTTTGGAAAAGCTGATCTTTGCGTTATGTTGAATCAAAAGGCAGAAACTATTTAGGAATTGCAGATTAAAATTCTTTAATCTGAATCAATAAGGCATTTTCCGATCTTCCATAATTATTACCTCTCAGTTTGCTACTCAATGGCAAATGGAGAGGTCTCTGGCCCATTTCCACCCTGGAGACCATGGAAACACTGCTTGTCATATTACCTTACAAGAGCGGACGAAATTCGAGGTAGGTGACTGAGACAAATCTTTCTCTCTTTTTTGGCATTGTCGGAAAAACGCATTCACATGTGGATCCTGAAATAGACAGAAAGTGTTTATTTCTGATGCGACAGATGTTTTGCAGCCATTAAGGTGATGGAAGGCGCATTTGTGTAGGAGGGAGGCCTCGAAGCCAGAGCTACAAGGGTCACCTCCACGAGCCATGCCCAGGCTGAAGGCTCAGCCGCACCTCAAACCCACCTCCCTTCCCTCATGCTCACAGGCTCACTTTCCTGCCTGGTAGGATGACAATGGAGGAGAATCCTTCCCTTAACTCACTTTGGGTCTAAAATTGCCTTTGTTCAGCTTCCTGCTGATGCTTCTTCCATAGACTTTGGCCACTTTTTCTTACCTCATCTAAGCATACACAAAAATGCGTGCTGCATAATTTGCTCAGGGGGACTTTCAGATGCGTGATGCCCACGTAGGTAACAAATTAGGAAGCCCACGCTAACATCGCCTGATAAAAATGGGGGCTGACTGTGTCCGCCCACACTGATGTCAAAGTCCTAACCCTCAGAACCTCAGGACATAGCCACCTTTGGAGAAAGGACTTTAAAGATGTGATTCAGATAAAATGAGGCAGTTGAGGTGGTTCTAACCCAATAGGACCAATATCCACATACAAGAGGAAATCTGGAGAGCAGAGCATCACCAGAGGGAAGACAGTGAGGGCACAGCAAGAAAACAGCCATCTACACACCAAGGAGCAAAGTCTCGGAAAAGCCAGCCTGTCGACACCTGCGCCTTGGACAAACGCCCTTGCCACCTTCTCATTTTGGCTCCTCCTTCTGTGGCGCTGAGCTTGAACAAATGGGCATGGCCTCTTGAGGCGCTTCCAGAAGGGGGCACCTTGGCAATTCTCTACATTAGCGCTGTAGGTGGAGTCACACCCTCAGGATGTGAGATACAGAACTTGGGGAGGACACGTGTGGCTGTTTCCCGGCTGACGTGCTGTCAGGTCCAGAAAGTTCCCGGTCTGGTGCGGCTGAACCCAGATCAGTGTATGTTTGTGTGATATTCTTTGTTTCCCAGTTGTCGTTATGCTTCTGATTAGAAGCCATTTTTTTTTTTCCTCTTCACTATCATTTCCTTTATTCATGAATTCCACAAACTTTTCTTGAAAGCTGACGGGGCCAGAACCTTTGCATCAGAGCAGAGGCAGAGCAGAGGCAAGGGAGGCCTAGTCCTTTCCTCTAGAGACCTTCTGTGACACTAAGGAGACAGGCCCTACTTGGAGCGGGTTTCCAGATGCCCAGGTGATTACATTTGAGAGCACTCCAGGGAGAAGAGGTGCCCCCTGACCCCCGGAGAGAGACAAGACCACCCCTCCTGTCTGTGGGCCAGGGAACAGGGAGGGCTGCTCGAGGCACTGGCATCTGAGCTGAAGTCTGAAGGACAAAGGTGTTACAGGTGAGTGAGGTAGGCAGACAGGGAGAGACTGAGTGTCCAAGGAGCCCTGGGGGCTTTGGGAGGAACTAACGGATGGAGGCAGCTGAGAGGAACCCTGGCAGGTGGAAATTGAGGTGTTCTGTGATGAGGAAAGACTAATATTCTAATATTTGACGAGAATGGGGGAGGTAGAGATGGAGGATAATGGTGGGTCTTAGTGAGTGAGAGAGACCTCCTTTTTCATGAAAAGCAACTGAAGGGGGTGAAAGAAACTCAAGATCTTCTGAGACATGTGGAGAAAGATCCTTTCGTGGGACTGGGCCAGGGCTGCTGGCATCAGGGGAGAGATGGGGGAAGATTCATGGACATAGGACTGAGGAGGAGGACTCAATTTAGCTTGATGCATGAGGTGATTGGGAGAAATTCTGACCTCCTGAATGTGTGGTACCTGAATGATAGGATTTCCTTAGCAACCAGGTCTGGGTTGGGATAAAGGAATAGGCAGTAAAAACGTAGATACACACTGCATTGGAGAAAGGGCAATGTGTATTCAATGCACTTGACTCGCTTGGCAGTGAGTGCCTCTGCACCATGCAATTCCTCACATCGCATTCCACACAAGGGACGCGGCAAGTCCGTGAGCAGGGATGGTGATCACATTGTTTTGCTTTTGCATTTGTGAAGCATTTTCTCACTGAGTTTCTCATTTTGATCTTCCTACAAGCATAGCAATTTCACTGCTACCATTTTTTTCTAAGGAGGAAATAAGGACTCAGCAGTAAACACCTGGCCCAGAGTCACTGAGCAGAACTGGACAAAGTGCCCTCCATGCGGCCCTGGGCACCCCCTGGCCTCCCACTTGCGGATCGCTGGAAGGACTCGGCAGTAGACTGAGTTCCGAGGTACAGAGCCAAATATTTTGAACATTTCACATTTTAAGCAGTTGGCTGTCGTCATTGGAAGAAAACCACACTCCAAGAGCAGGGCCAGCAGGTTTGGCCTACAGTGTTATGCGCTGGGTGATTACGGGTGAGGACACCCTGTGGCTCCAAGGACATGCATGGTTGTATGGCAAACAGCTCCCTTTTCATGTCCTTGCTCTTGTGAACCCTTAGGAGATGGCACCTCCTTATTCCATTGGCTGCAAAAGACGCAGAGATTTCCAGACAACCAGCTCACCTGTGTATTCACTGTGGATACAACAAACGTTGATACTCTGAAGAGTGGTTTGCCACCGTCCACCCATTTAATGTCGCTCCCAACTTGCTGCGAAAAAAAAAAAAAAAAAGATTGTCACTCTCATTGTGGCAATTTGAGACAAAGAAACAAGCAGGCTATTTAGTTTGTATTCATTTTCCATACACATCTTACTTTACTCTCGAGAAGGAACCAAAAATGACACAAACACATTTTGCAGTATTTGTAAACGGGGCTGATGTCCTATGAAGGGCTCATTGTTGACAGATCATTTCTACTAACCATAAACTAAAGAAGATGCTTGAAATAGTGTAGGGACGCTTGTTTCATAACTACTGCGCATGACTACACGATGGTGGGTTAATTGAAACAACAGAAATCACTGACATTTTTCCCGCTTAAATTATACATCGGTAAATACCTTTCCACTTGCAGAATCTTGAAAGCTCAAATAGTTAGGAGGCAGGCTGGTTGCTACTGGGATATTGTACTCTTGAGAAGCTATCTGATCGTGTTTCATCAGAGGAAGCCAAGCATACCCAACTGTGCAAACAAACAACAAAGCAAACTTTTGAGTACAAACCTCCATGTTGAAGAGTGAAAGTAAAGCTATTTGTTATTTATGAACACAAAACTTCACTAAAAAATTAATAATTCAGGGCTTTCAAAATACAGTTCAGTGCACACCCAAAAGATGATGTGTAAACTATCTCAGGTGGACCCCATCAGTACCTGATGTTTCCAGAGCCTCCTTCTTTTTGGCATTTGCTTTTGCATTTATGTCACATGTGACATGATAAAAAGAAAACAAAATATGGTGTTTCTCATGGAGTTGTGTTGGCAGCTCAATTTTTACCTGTTGTGAAAGAGAGATTAATTGGTCTGAGAACCAAATCATTTGCTCAGGGCAGGGACAGAGAAAGCAGATGCACCTTAATCTTCTAAAAAGACTTGAACCGAAATCTAGGTCCACGCTGAACAGTTAGTGCAACATGCTTTGATTTAATTCTCAAAGAATGCTATTCCTGCTGGCTTGGCTGTCATATGCCACATGCTGGTGTTTGCACGTTAATGTGGTGGATGATGATAACTTAGAAGACCTAGGCAATTCTAAGTTAAGCAAATCATTCTGCCAGAGCATGGATCAGATACACTCACTTGCATGCAAACACACACACACAGATGCGACTGCAGAAAGTAAATAAGACACAGATTGAGAACCCATCACCAAGGGACATAACTGGGCAAACAGTAAGTCTGTACCTCCCACAGCCTGTGAGGACGATGTGTGAGCATTTTGTGGGACTGATGAGAAATGCGGGACCTTAGAAATGACCCCAGACGTCTGGAATCCGATTCTGCATGCTAATAAGAAGTTACCACGCTGATTCATGTGCACATTGTTGAGAAATATGGTGGAAGAAATGAAGAAACTAGCATGGAATTTATCCCTTTAAAAAATAACACGAAAATGTATATAATGTGTTCATGTGGTGACCATGTGATGGACCATTTTGTGAAGAGTTCATGCTGCAATTATATAAATAGTGCTTCTGAATAAACATAAATGTGACACAGGCTGAGGGTGTTTTTAGTGAGGCGCATTCTACTCCATGTTCTTGGAAAGAAATGACTTGCAATCCTCAACATTACATGCTTTTCATTTTCAAGCTTCTGCCACATGTGCTACTGAATTCTCTCAACAGCCCTGTGAAGTCGGATGATTCACTGAGGACCACAGCCAGAGAAGTGAAGGGACTTCGAGTCACTAGGAGTATGGAGTATGCTTTTGTCAGTAAGAATCTTCTGGAACATGGCTCATGTCTTCTGATAGCCATTTCACATGGGAATCCCAGGATGCCATTCAGGTGAACTGTATCCAAATCAAGGCAGCTACTCAAGCGCAGCTACTACATAGTTTCCAGAAAAGTTAAGTCCAATAAGGTGAAAGAAGGCTTGCAAAGTATCTACCAGCGGATGCATTAAATCTCTGTGCATGCAGTCAGCCAATTTATTTTCACTTTGTTACAAAGAAGGACTTGTTAAGGTATTTTTCAAAGCATCTTGCTGGAACAGCATATCAACATCACCTGCAAATCTGTCAGAAAAGCAAGTTTTCGGGTCCCATCCTAGACATATGAGAACCCACAATCTGGGGTGGGTTCCAGGCATCATCAGAGTATTTTCACAAGCCTTCTGGGAAATTCTGATGAGTAGTAAATACTGAGGTATTCAGAATTCAAAGGGTTTATACACATCCCTACCTTATCTTTATATCCAGTGTGCTAACCTGGCAGTGAAATCTGGTATATTTGAAAACATACACAACCACACAACAGAAGGAGAAGTTGTTTTTCTTAGCCAAGGTAAAGAGTGCATGAGATGCAAAAGGTACTCAAGAATTCCAGTTAACTGAATTTTGATACAAACAATCTTCACTTACTGAGTGCTACAAATATTTAACATCACACTGTAACTATGCCTGGGAAGAATTCTGGCCCATTTTTGTAGTTCATGTAGTCATTGCTTGCAATAACAATAAGAAACCAAAACCTTAGTTTTGAATCTGCACTGTAGGGTTCATGGGTTGTTGGTTATTATATGTGCTGCTCTGGGAAAGCGCCTGGCTTTTACTAGTGTTCTGGAAGCACATGGGAGAAAGGGAGACTAAAAGCCAGAGTGAGGAGTGAGAACATCCTTTTCATAAATATTTGAT